TGAAAAATCGTGTCTTATTCCCCAGGACTTCAAAAATGCTTGACAGGGCTTCTCTGGTGGCACAGTGGTTAAGAATCCACCTGCCAATGCAGGGGACATGGGTTCAAGCCCTAGCCCAGGAAGATCCCACATGCTGCGGAGCAACTAAGTCCGTGTGCCACAACTACTGAGCCTGCACTCTAGAGCCTGCGAGCCACAACTACTGAGCCCGCGTGCCTAGAGCCTGTGCTCCGCAACAAGAGAAGCCACCGCAATGAGAAGCCTGCGCACCACAACAGAGTAGCCCCCGCTTGCCGTAACTACAGAAAGCCCGCGCACAGCAACAAAGACCCAACGCAGCCAAAAATAAAAATAAAACATTTTTCTTAAAAAATGACAATCATGAAGCTGCACAATATAAACATTTAAAGAATTAGACCAATGATGCTAGAAAACAAAGGAGATGGTCATAAATTCAGCATTATTAACATGCAACATTAATGTAAATAATTTAAATATCTACTGGGGAATGAACATGTAGATACAATTTCAAATGTTACATGTTGATGTCAAGAAAATGAGTGAACTTTGAACTTCTGCCAAAAGTCATTTGAGAAAGAAAAGTTTTTTAAGGGAATCACATTAGAAAGAAAGAGATAAATGACACCTTTAAACCAATTACCATTAGTCTCAGATATACCACAGGGGACCCTTTCCTCAAATTCTTTCAAGGCAATAGAAAGATAATCATAGCAGGTGCTAATCCAAGACTCCAATAACTTCTCTACCTCACTAATTATGTGGCAACTGAAAGAATTACTTGGCATACTGAAATGCTGGTTAAATCTAACTATCTGCCAGTTCCATTCCTACACCGAGAAGTTAAACGTGGCTTAGAGAAAACACACATCCATGATGCCTGGCTTCACTTTAAATGCATGGCTTGATTTCAGCTGGGTCCTTGGTGCTGCCTGGCAATGCTACCATCTTCTCCAGTTGACTCACTCTCCCCATCTACATGGCAATTCCGCATTTTCTCCTCTCATCTCGAACATTAATAGCACTTACCCCCATCATCACTCTCTGCTTCTGAGAAAAAATGAAAGTCACCAGAAAAAACTCCCAAGTGTACCCCTTCTACCCATCTACGTGGATCTATAGCCAAGCACTCTGCCTTCCCTCTTGTTATTATGAACAAATGGTCCAAGCTCCTACTCAAGCTCATACAACCCAATACCATTGTCTCCCACTTGATCAAATAAACTACTCCAGCACTCTCTCTTAAATCCACAGCTTGCTCTCTGCTGTACAATTTTCATCATGATAGAAATACGCTGTCCTTTCTGCATTAAAAAAATATATCTTGAGCCCACATCCCTCTCTAAACATAGTCCCATTTCTCTATTCCCTTTTATCACAAAGGACCTCATAACAATGGTCTAGACCTCCCGTCTCTAATTCTTCTCTTCCTGTTTTCCTTGAACCCACTCTACAAGCTTTTGCCCCTACGCTCCACCAAAACCACCCTGGTCAAGGTTACCAGTAACCTCCACATACCTTAATTCAATGGTCAATTCTCGGAATTCATCTTGCACAACTCACATCAGCAGAATTTGATACCGCTCATCATACCCTCCTCCTTCAAACCCCTTCTTCACCTGGCTTCCAGGATACCATGCTCTCTTGTTTTTCCTTCAGTCTCACTAATTATACTCTCTGTATATATATATGTATATATATACTCTCTGTGTATATATATGTATAACCATGCTGGTTATTCCTCATTGTCCTGACCTCTTAATGTTGGAGGGTTCCCGGACTCAGTCCTTGAACCTCTGCTCTTTTCTATCTATGCTCTCTCCCTAAGGAATCTCATCCTCAATCTTGGCTTTAAATACAATTTATTCACTGATGACTCCCTAATTTATGTCTCCAGGTTTAGGCCACTCCCTCACCTCTCAACCCCTCTATCTCTAATTGCTCACTGACATTTTCGTTTGGATATGTAATAGGCATCTTGACACATCAAAAAAATAAGCTCTTGATCTTTACCATATGGCTGACATTACAAGTGTTCATCAACGTCCAGCTCCCCTCCCCTTTAGGGCACAGGAATGACAACCCATGATAAGACCACATGACTTGTTCTGGCCAATGTAATGTGAGCAGAAGTGCCATATATCATTTCCAGCCTGGACATGATAAGCCCATTGTGATTCTCCAATCTCTCTCTGTGCTGTGGCAACTGAAAATGTTTTGTGTTCCATCCAGATGGTGTACTTCAAGACATGGAGCCTCCACCAACCAGGCTTCCTTAGTGATGGCAAAGACCTTCCCACTGACCAACATGGAAAAGGTACCATTAGCAAGAAATAAACTTATATGCTTAACAAGCCATTGAGATTTTGGAGTTCTTAGTTATCACAGTATAGCCTTGCCTACCCAGACTAAATACCCACCAAAAGCGGCTCTCACATAGTGGTCTATCTCAGCAAACTCCATCCTTTTAGCTGCTCAGTCAAAAACCCTGAAGTCATTCTTGACCCCTTCCTTTCTCTCATCCAATTCATCAGCATACCCTGCACCTTCAAAATACAAACAGAATCCAACCACCCTTTACTTTTTCCACTACCACTCTGCTCTTCAAAAGACACTGATAAGAACATGAAAAGACAAACACAAACTGGGAGAAAACACTTTAAAAGCATATAGATAAAATGAAGGGCTTGTATCCAGAATGCATAAGCTTGTATCCAAGCTCATCAATAAGAAAACAAAACACACAATTTTTTAAAAAACAAAATTTTAATAGACATTTCCCCAAGAAAGGCATGGATAGCAAATAAACACATGGAAAGATAAGAATGCTCACCACTATTAGTCACTGGAAAATGCAAATTAAATTAAAACCACAATGAGATACAACTACATACATATTAGAATGGCTAAAATTAAAAAGAATGACAATACCAAGTATTGATGAGACGTAGAACACAGCAATTCTCATATATTGCTATTTAAAATGTAAAATGATACAACCACTTTGGAAAATATTTTGTCAATTTCTAAAAAAGTTAAACATACACTGGTGGTAAAAGAAGAGTGTTTATATATTGACAGATATGGTCCACTCCAGAAGCTGTTTATAGATGACTTATATTTATTGGTGATTCTTCCCTTGGCTGAAAGGTGCTAAAACATACACCTATTAGATGATCCAGCCATTCCACTCCTAAGTATTCTCAAAATAAAGAAAGTATATGTCCACTTAAAGATTTGTACACAAATGTTCATAGCCCAAAAGAGGAAACTGCCCAAATGTCCATCACCAAGTGAATGGATAATCAAATTGTGGCATATCCATACAAAATACTACTATTCAGCAATAAAAAGGACTGAATTACTAATACACACAATATAGATGAATCTCAAAATAATTATGCTGAGTAAGAGAAGAAAAGGAAAAAAAAAGAGTACACACTGTATGATTCCGCTACAGTAAGTCCCCTACATACAAACGAGTTCCATTCCAAGAGCGCATTCGTAAGTCCATTTGTTCGTAAGTCCAACAAACTTAGCCTAGGTACCCAACTAACACAATCAGCTATATAGTACTGTACTGTAATAGGTTTATGATACTTTTCACACAAATAGTACATAAAAAACAAACACAAAAAATAAAGAAAATATTTTTAATCTTACACTACAGTACCTTGAAAAGTACAATAGTACAGTACAACAGCTGACATACAGGGGTTGGCATCGAGTAAACAGGCAAGAAGAGTTACTGACTGAAGGAGGGAGAGGAGGTGGGAGAGGATAGAGCTGTCAGCGACAGGAGACGGAGAGCAAGGTGCAATTTCACTCACGCCTGACATCGATGGAACGCACGTTCGCATCTTTGAAAGTTCGCAAGTTGAAGGTTCGTATGTAGGGGACTTACTGTATATAAAACTCTAGAAAATGCAAATATCTATAGTAACAGAAAACAGATCAGAGGTTGCCTGGGGAAGACGACAGGAGGGAGGGATTACACAGCGGTACAAGGAAACTTTTGAGGGTGATGAACACGTTCACTATCTCAATTGTGTTGATGATTTCCCAATGTATACATATGTCAAAATGTTAAACTGTTTAAATTTGTTCAGTTTATTGTATGTCGATGATACTTCAATTAACTTTTTTTTTAAAGGAATATAGCAGGTACTGAATAAAGTGAATAAAGATGAAAACAGCTGCAAAGAAAGCAAAATCCTAAGAATGAATTGCAGTGGGAACATTTATATCCTCTCTCATTCTATAGTATTCTTTTCTGAATGATAAAATATTAGTGGAAAAGGAGGAATAAGCTACTACAAAGCAGAGTTCCTCAGTATAAAGTCGTAGGGTCTTTCAGCCAAGAAAAACCACCTATAAGTAGCTCCCGAAATGGACAACTGCCGTCCCAATATACAAGCACTATTCTTTGGCCACAGTTTCCTAGTAGTTGAATAATTTCTTTGAACTCATCTTAGAAACCTGGCCTAATTTCTCCTTTTTTATATCATCTTCATTTGCCATTAAACTTATATTGACCCTTTTCCCATGAATTTAGTTTGCTAAAGACTAAGGAATGGCCGTGGCAAGTGTCCTCAGTTGATGAGTCTCGGATGTAAAAGTCCCTTGCCTTGGATTCACTGTCTTCTGTCTCCTCATTTCCCACTGAGGTAGAAAAATCACCATCTCTATTTCATTCACCTCCCTTGCTCTTCTCTTTGAAATCCTAAATTCCACTCATTATTGTCAATTTTAGCATCATCTTGAACATGAACTCACCCACTTCTTTCATAAGCTGCTATGGTTATGTGTTTTCTGTGACATGACTCCGTCATAAAATAGAATAGAATAGAATAGAATAGAATAGAATAGAATAGAATAGAATAGAATAGAAGAATAGAATAAAATAAAATAAAATAAAATAAAATATAAAATAAGAGCATAGCACCCACTTATGTTTAAACAAAGTTAGCCCTGTGACTTACCTCATTTCCACCAACTGCCTTGGTTAAAATCACTGCAGAAGACACAGGGGGAGGCATGCAACCTACTGTCTGCAACCTGAAAAAGAAAAAAATAAGCAACTATAAGTAGGCTTTTGTTTTCAATTATAAATAGTTTTCACTACATTCATTCTAAAATAGCAGAGCTGAGTAAATGAAAATAGGAGAATGTTTACTGATGCACATGACCTTTTGAGTTTAGACAATTCTATATGAGGCAACGTGGCTTAATACAGGCTCTCACTCCATTCCACAGACTTGGGTGATTTTATTTTTTAAATTATTTAAGGTCTTATACAATTCAAAAAACAGTCAGGTTATGGTGAGTGTAGTCATTGAAAGATAACGAAAATGGTTAATCATTTGGCAAGTATATATAGTCAGTTATTTTCAGGTATCTTTTCCTTAGATTTTTTATAGGAAGGTTTTTGGCAAAAATAAAACTTTAAAACCTCTTGCAGATTCTTTTCCACATAACAGCAATTCTCAAACTTTCATCTCATAAAAGACATTTTCATGCTGTTGTAATATCATTATAAAAATAGGCATGACACAATCATGTACTTCTTAGATTCAGACCCTACAGTAAATTCTAGTGTCTATTCTAAATTTGGTTTTTATTAAACTATGTGTATACTCCCAAGATTGTGACAAGAATTCTATTCTCTTAGTTTAGAATAGAAAACACATTGCATGACACGCAAATGAAATTATGAGTAGTAAATCCAAGTATTAAAGATAAACAACATTCCTCAGCATTCATACAGAATATATATTCTGGGGACAAAGCCCAACTAAAGTGGAAAGTTTATACAAGGAATCAAGGACACAGAGTATCTGACTAATATTTTGAATGTAGGATCACAGGTCATTTTAATTCACTTTTGTAATAATATATTGTCTAATCTTTATGCAATGAATTTATATTGGCTCTGAAGTAAGAAAAAATAAAAAGTTTTCATTAATTTTTGACTGAAAACTTAAGAAAAAACCTTATAGGGAACTTCCAGTTCAATTCACTTTAACATGGTCTTCTTTTAAGGTCTGTTTTCCCAAGTGATGCTGAAGTAGTCTGTCTGATTATGAATTCCCAACCTCTGAGCCTTCCTTGTAATCATTACCATCAACATCACTAATATTACTGAGATTTTACCATCTGTAGTAGATACTGTTCTAGACACTTTACTCATTTATTCCTCACAAGTATTTAAGATAAATACTATTATTATTCTCATTTTTACGAAAACTGAAGTTAAGACAGGAGTTAAATATATGACCAAATTCACAAAATCACCTATCTTGGGTTAAACTTTTATTCTGTAATCCAGGGCCGAAGGCTTACCAAGGCCTAACCCTCCAGGCTCTCCGCCTTCTGGCTTCTCTACCACCAATACAAAGAACAGGTCCTCTCAGGTATTTTCAATCGAACTTTTTCAATCTTTCCCTCTCATCTGGCCTCTTCCCCTCTATGTACAAAGAAGGAGAGTTCTCCATATCTTAAAAAAAAAATCTCTAAGATATATGCTGAATACATATACTTTCTACAGGTAGGACACTACACAAGGGTATAAAAAAAAGTATAAGACATCATTCCTGCCTTCAAGGAGGCAGAATATTTAACACACAAATGTAGATAACTAACCTCAAAATTAGTACTGTTGCCTCCTCAGGATGTAATAATACTTTTTCCACTGTGGCTCACTGTTGTGCTCTACCTCCAAGACCCCAAATTTCATTCTCTCTTTACTCCCCTGGAATCTGACTTATGCCCCTTCTAGTAAAAGCAGTAACCTTATAAGTAACCAACAATCTCCCAATCAAGAAATCCAACATCCTTTTCCCTGTATTCATTCTCCCTTCCTCCTTGCTTCTCAAAGCACTCTATTCTCTTGGTTGCCATAGTACAGTATCATTCTAATTTATCTCCTGTCTTTTAAACCAGCCCATTCAAGTATTTTCCTGTCTTCTTCTCAATCTTATTTGCAAATCTGAATCTATATGAATACTTACAAATTTCTATTGCTAACCCTAACCTCCAGTCCCAAATCTGTAGCTGTCGATGACTGCCACCATAAACAAAACATGTCTAATGTTGAATTTATGTATTTTCTAAGAAATCAATTTTGCCTCTCAATTAACCTATTTCTTCCAATGGGACAGCTTTTTTCCTAATGATCCAGTCTGAAACTTTGGAGTTAAGTGGAGTTCCACTCACTCTTAACAAACCAAACAATCGCCACAACCAACTTTCCATTCTTTTCCGTGACTATTGTCATCATCCCCCTTCAGATGCTTTTCGCCCAAGTCTGGACATTTCTAAATGCCTACTCAGTGCTCTCTCTACCTTCACTCTTTCTTTTTAACACAGCAAGGTAAGGAGTGTGAGCTCAGAATACATTTATCTCAGTGATTTAAACAGGACCTTGACGTAGAAGTCGGCAATTCCCTCCAGTTAACATACTAAGTGTGTACTCTCAAATTGGGAGGGGAAGGGAGAAAAAGTGAGTGAGGAAGAGCTTTCTCTAAGTGAGGTAGACTAAGTTTGTACTCCATTAAGTTTAATATCCTGAGCTGAGAATTGTATGCTTTTTTTTTTATTTAGCATACTGTGATTACATACTCTACTCTGCTCTGCTTATATACCCAGGACAATACTATCAGATAATCTTCTTTAATGACCATTTTCTAGCATGTTGTTCTCTTGTTTAGCACATTTAAGAATCCTGCATCATCTACAGATTCAAACTCAAACTCCTCATCCCAGTAGTTCCAGTCTTGCAACTTGGCCTTAAGGAAGCTTTTTATCTTTGTCTCCCACTAATGCCTCATGTTTGAATTCTCTCCTTTAGGAGTACACAACCCCTGCTGACCCTCTACCCCCTTAACTGATTACACCACTTATCTAACAAATCATATGCTGCCCCATTTTATTGGTTACTGTTTTATATATATGTATATATATCCTACATATCCAACTAAATTGGAAGTTCCCTGAATACAATGAAAATGAGTTAATATCTTCCAATTTCTTGAGTGCTCTCTACAGGGCAGATAGTTGGTAAATACTGGTTCTCTATATGCATCATACCTTGTTGCTCTAAAATGATGTCATCACATTTATGTAGCATTTTATGCTTTCTGGTGAAATTTTATATTCATTCTCTCAAACTCGATCTGGCCAAAACAGCACTCTTGATTTCCTGCTCTCGTCCCAACCTATTTCTCCCCCAGCTAAGAAAATGATGCCGCCAATCGGCCAGTGGCTCATACCCCGAATCCAGACTCCTCCCTGTCCTCTCTCCACAACCTATCCACTCATGGATACTGAGAGCTCTAATTTTAAAATATATCCTCCATACATCCATTTCTTTCCTCTGAGCTGCTCCCTCATCACACTAGCCTCCAAGCTGGTCTCCTAGCTTTCTCTCAGGCTCTTCTACTATCTATTCTTCATACAGGAACTAGAAGAATCATTTGCAAACATAAATCAGAACCATATTACTCTCTCATTTAAATCCCTCCTGTAGCTTCCTGAAGCACTCGAAATAAAAACGGAATGCTTTACAAGCCTACAAGCCTCTGCATGACCAGGATCCTAGCCATCTTTCCAACCCCAAGTCACATTATTTGTCCTCTATATCATCAGGCTTTGGCCATCATTGTCACTTTCCTGACCCTAGAATACACCAGGCTTGTTCCAGTCCTTAAACATTTTGTTTCCTTTACCTAGAACATTCTGCTCCCAGAACTCTGCAGTCTAAATTGATCACCAGCCTGTCCTCTCAACCATTCATATCACACAGTTTTACTCCAGATCACTTATCTCTATCTTGATCATCTTATTTATTGACAATCACACCTTGACGTGCAAAACTAACTTGCCAATTTTGTTCACTGCTGTTTCTCCAATACCTATGATAATTCCTGGCACATAGAAGGAGCTGAATAAATGACTTGAATAAATGAATGAATAAGTGATCTCAATTGATATCCCCACAGCATTACTAAGCAGGCAATAAAAGTATGATTATCCTCACTTTATACACATGGAAATTGAGGTTCAAGACTATTCAATGACTTCCCTAAAAGTCACATAGCAACTTAGGGACAAGGTCAGAGTGCAATCTTTAGGCTTTAAGTTCAGTGTTATAGTTGTTATACCATGATGCTAAAATGTGGTTAGTTTTAAACCACTTCAAATAATTTTTAAAAATCATCAAATCCTTTTAACAAACATGGCAACATTTTTTTTTTTTTTTGCGGTACGCGGGCCTCTCACTGCTGTGGCCCCTCCTGCCGCGGAGCACAGGCTCTGGACACGCAGGCCCAGAGGCCACGGCTCACGGGCCCAGCCGCTCCGCGGCATGTGGGATCTTCCCGGACCGGGGCACGAACCCGCGTCCCCTGCACCGGCAGGCGGACTCTCAACCACTGCGCCACCAGGGAAGCCCCATGGCAACATTTTTAATGGGAGAAAAGATTCTAATAAAAATCTATTGCTCTATTTACAACAGTCAGGACATGGAAACAACCTAAGTGTCCACAGACAGATGAATGGATAAAGAAGATGTGGCACATACATACAATGGAATATTACTCATCCATAAAAAGAAACAAAACTGAGTTATTTGTAGTGAGGTGGATGGACCTAGAGACTGTCATACAGAGTGAAGTAAGTCAGAAAGAGGAAAACAAATACCGTACGCTAACACATACATATGGAATCGAAAAAAAAAAATGGTTCTGAAGAACCTAGGGGCAGGACAGGAATAAAGATGCAAACGTAGAGAATGGACTTGAGGACACGAGGAGGGGGAAGGGTAAGCTGGGACGAAGTGAGAGAGTGGCATGGACATATGTACACTACCAAATGTAAAATAGCTAGCTAGTGGGAAGCAGACACATAGTACAGGGAGATTAGCTCGGTGTTTTGTGACCACCTAGAGAGGTGGGATAGGGAGGGTGGGAGGGAGACGCAAGAGGGAGGAGATATGGGGATATACGTATATGTATAGCTGATTCACTTTGCTTTACAGCAGAAACTAACACACCATTGTAAAGCAATTATACTCCAATAAAGATGTTAAAAAAATAAATTAAAAGCTAACATGAAAAAAAATCTATTGCTAATTCAATTATCCTATCAAACATAAAACAGAACAAGGGAAAAAGTAAATGTTTCTCCCCTCTATATATTTTTCTTTCCTATGCATTTTAAAAACACATACTATAGTCAACCAGTATCTGTATACATTTGGTAAGATATAGAACAAAAAAGTTAAAACACCCAATTGACAGCCTACATTACACACATGCACACAGACCTTACATCCTGTAGTGCCTTCCATTTTTCTCCCAACAGAAAATTGTCTCTCCTAGAACCTTATCATTTAGCAAGAGTGTATATTTTAAGATTCTTGTTATAAAATTCTTTAATGAAGTTCCTTAGTGAAACACTATCACTTTAAAGAATAATAATAATGTCAAAAGTGTTTTTATTTCCTTATATGACACATAAGCCCTTTTGTGTACAGTTGCCACAGAAATAATAATGTTACTAAAGATACCCCATTAACAGTGGACCCTTCAAAATATTTAAACATACCCTTTTAAAAGCCATTCATTGATGGGTGTGATTGACAAAAGCTGAAGAAGAAGCCATATTGCTGCTGGGAAGAATGCAAGTGTAAAGATCTGAATAAAAAGATGTAGTTTTATATGCACCAAAGCACTTGTCAGCTCCTGTGAAAATGAAGGACACAAAATAACAAAGGTAAGAAAACTATTTCTGAAGACAGACTGCTACCAAAACAACATCACATGAATTAGGTTATTTTTTTAATTGAGATATAATTGACATATAACATTATATTAATTTTAGGTATACACCATGAAGATTCATTGTCTATACTGCAAAATGACCACCACAATGAGTCTAGTTAATATCCATCAATGTGGAGTTATTTCAGAGCTAAAATTTTTACCTATAAGCATATGCATAAGAGACAGACTTTAAGAAAAAAAAGTGTTTAAAAAAAAAAGTTGTTCATGATAATTATAAAGTATTTTTCTATAAAATTTCTGAAGCATTCTAATTTCTTTCAAATACAGTATATCCCAACAATTCAGATTTGTAAAATTCTGGAACAGGACGAAGCTAACTACCTTTACACTAGTATAGATTTCAGAATTGTTGACACTGCAAACAAACATGTATGTTTAACTATTTAAAACAAAATCTTGTTTAAAAATTTTGGCAGGACCTAGAATTTTAATTAAATTTGATAATTAACCTCTGCTCATTACACCAGACCTAGCAAGGCCTCAATTTGGCAAGATGTTACTAAATCTACACACAAATCATAATTTTTAAAAATGTTTTCCCCAACAATATTCTACAATTCAAAAGGGCTTTTTCCCCCAAAATCTACTCACTAGATTTCTTTATTAACATTTACTGAATAGCAGCTCTGTGCCATGCCCTGAGCTTGCCACTTTATGTATGTTATCTCATTTAATCCTGACAACAACCCAGTTAAGAAGATATTATTATCCCTATTGTACTGATGAGGAAATTGAGATTGAGAGTGAAGCTCAGAATCAAACCCATTTCTGGCATTCTACCAAACCCACTCACTCCTGCTTCTCCCACCATGTCACACCGCTGCCCCAGGAGAGAAAAGATTTGCATGAATCATGACACACCAGGCACATACTGTAAGTCTCACAGCTAAAAAGGGATACTCGGTAAACTTTGGGATTTCAATATGTACAAACCAACAAACGTTTACATTTGAATTTCTTTGAGTTATGTGGTTATTCAGCAAAAATAAAACAAATTCAGAAAGTAGTAGAATATAAAACATGCAGGCAGTCATTAAACACATTCAAAGTTGCCAGAGATTCACTGGTTTATAAACATAGCACTGTCATGTCCCCCACCTCCCTTAGTTCAAGTAAGTCATGAACTAGCTTCAGAGACATTAGCCAAAGTTCATGGTGTAATAAACAGTAGGTTAATGCAGACTCATTCACTGGTCACCACTTTCTGCAATCTGTCTCATCAGTTCCCACCATTAATCTCCCTTCACGTCACACAGCAGTTCCAGTTTAATCACAATACGTCCCTAATGGCATCTATGGAACTTCTGGAAATCTGGGTCTAATGCAGGACAACTGGGAAACACTGTGCAGACTGGAAGCCACACTGGGTCCATGGATCAGAGCTAACATAAAAGGAGCCATCTTTACAATGAACCAGAAATTGCACCCCAGAGAAAACTTGAGCACCAGCAGTTCCAAGAATTCTCAGCAGTCTTGAAACCAAATCTCACACAAATACACTCAGAGGCATTCTTAAATACCAAATAAATATCAGTGGGTTTTTTATTTTCAAAAAATGAAAATAAAATGATTAGCCAGAAGGCAGTAACAAAGGCATTTGTATACACTTCTCATAGGAATATAAAACGCCGTAACTTTTCTGAAAAGTAATTTGGGAGACTATCTCAAGGACTGTAATAGGATTCATACTCTTGGACCCCAAAATTTTATGTCGAGGCATTTCTCCTAAGGATATAAAAAGTGGTTACAAGCATTTATATATAGAACTGGTTGATAGTCACAGCATTATCTATTACAGTAAAATCTGGAAACAACTTATATGTCCAAAAGTGAGGAAATAACTAAATAACTTAAGGTAGCAGCAGAGTGTTAAGAGCTATTAGAAACTATGTTAAAACTGTGTAGACAAGGTTGTAGAAGTTCAGGGTCTCTCCCTACTTAACCAACAGGTGTCTCTACATAGACCAACCTAGCAACTCATTCCTTCAGGCGGCAAACACTTACCCAGCACCTGCCTCCTTTCTAGGTACTTGGACTATCTCTCACAACTCAAACTTCACATATCATCTGACCCAGCAATCCTACTTCGAGGAATTAATCCTTCATACATATTCCCAAATGTAGGAAATGACATATTTTTAGGTTATCCTTTGCAGAATGTTTATAACAGCAAAACCCCATAAGTTACCTAAATGCCATTCAAGAGAAGATGAGGAAAATATATCAAGACACATTCAAAAATGGAATATTTTTCAGCACCCAAAAAGAAACAGGGAGTTTTTTAATGTGTTGATATGAAAAAACCTCCAAGATATGTGTTTTGAGTAAAATAAGGTAAGGTGGCAAATGGTATAAAACACCACAGTTTGACAGGGGCGGGGGGTGATACACATATGTTTGTTTTGCATAGAATATCTCCAGAAAGACACACAGAAACTGTTACCATTGGTTGTCTCCAGAGACGAGAACTGAATATTTAGTAGAGGGGTAAAAAGAAGACTTCTCATCGTATATACTTTTGTACCTTTTGATTTATGATCACAAAAGTAAATAAAATATAAATTATCTTATTTTCAAATATGAAGAAAAATTAAATGAAATATATTACATGGAAAATTACTATTATACACTGTCACGTATTAAAAATAAAATTGTATGTGTATATTTATGCAAGTATGTATATACATATATACACATATATGCATATATACAATTTTTTAAGTATTTTATTTTTAAAGTAGTCTCTATATAAAAAATGCTTTTAGGGGAAAAAAGGGCTAAAATACACACAAATGTTAACAGCAGTTATTTTTATTCTTTCTAATCTTTCTACATGGGGAAAGACTACTTTTGTAATCATGAAAAAAGTTATAAAAAGTAAAATGTAGTTAGAAAACACTAGTTGATCTGAAAAATGACAGTAGAAACAACTGATATTGTATCAAAATAATGGAACAGTGGGCTTCCCTGGTGGCGCAGTGGTTGAGAGTCCGCCTGCCAATGCAGGGGATGCAGGTTCGTGCCCCGGTCTGGGAGGATCCCACGTGCCGCGGAGCGGCTGGGCCCGTGAGCCATGGCTGCTGAGCCTGCGCGTCCGGAGCCTGTGCTCCACAATGGGAGAGGCCACAACAGTGAGAGGCCCACGTACCGCAAAAAAAAAAAAAAAATAATGGAACAGTAAAGAACCCAGCAAAATGAATCACAAAGGGCCACTATGTTGGGTCCTCAGGGGCTTCTTAACAACAGGGAAATAACAGACATGAAGTGTTTCCAAGAAAGATTTTCAAGACTGTCACAAAAACCCAGTGTTCTATATTTTCTATACCTTCTTCATACAACCTTAAAGATAAAATAAGTTTGCACTGGAAAAGAAAAAGCAAGTAAACACTATAAAATTCAAAATAGTATTATTCCATACATATCCATGTAGAATTGAGGGCCACATACTCAAATAAATACCATCATGAATAACTGAAGAGTTGATTCCACATGACATTTTATTTATTCACATGTAATACAGGTCGAATTCCATTAAAATAAACTTAAGGAGATACTCCACATACCAGGGCCTCACTGACAGCATCAAGAATCGCTTAAAATCAGAGGCTCTGAATGGGACTTAGAAATATTTTCATTACATACCAATTTCCCTCCTAACCCTTATTTGACCTTTATTGGATTTGCTTTCTGAGAGTCAGCCTCATAGCTCTGGGCTGGAAACAAGCAGCAAGAACCTCAATTTTAGAATTTGCTGTATTTATTTCTAAGCTGATGGGATTTTTAAAAAATGATCTGTTTCGGAAAATAAAGGAAAGCCAGTATATTCTGGCCTAGTGGGGACCCTTTTCACGCCCTGAGTTTCCTGCTCATCTTTGCTTCTGTCCCGAGCCAAGTACAAGTGCACAAGGTGGCAGTGCCTTGTGGCCACAGGTGCTAAACAGGTACTTGTTTAAATGAGATTGGTCTTGTCACAGTCTCTTAAATAACAAATCCTCTGAAACTGTAGATTTGAAGTTCGTTAAATATGAAATATATTTCGAATGTGACCTTATTGCATTTCACTACAACAAAATTTCAGAAACCACTTCAACAGGTATGTCACAAACTAGAAATCAACAGTCATGAAACCTAAGATTTAGCATTAAATCTTTTCAGCGTGAAGTATTAACACAGTCCTTCATAACTTTAATAAATGAACAAAACAAATTTGAGAATATACATCATTACATCAATGTATAAGTAATACTTCATGAAATGTTCACTATAAATCAAACTTGAGTGGGGCCAATGTAAATGCTTTCAAATAAACGCAAGTTGATTATAACCTACGGTTTCCTGTGCGCAAAAATGCACTGTTCCAGCACCTAACAGGATACAAAAATAGTAGTCCCAGCTGAAATTAGTTTGTTAACTAGAAAACAAATTGTTACAATCTTGTTATTGAAACAAGATTGTTAACTAGAAAACAAATAACAAGAAGTTCACTGCCTGCTAACTTACACCTGTTTGGTTGCCCGGGAAATTAACAGGGCTTAGAGATGGTTTAACATTACAGAATGATGCAATCTAGGGCATCTTAAGTTAAACGGATCTTGAAAATGACTTAATGTTGTATTAGCTTGAAAAGGGCCTTTAATATGCAAGAAGTGGCTTTGATGGCTATTTAGATACCACAGTAAAGCACAGGATCAAGGCATTTCATCGTTAGATCCCAATTAGCTAGATGATTCTGAAGGTTTCCTAGGTGCTTACAGAAGAATTTGGTCCTTAGAGAAATGCTGCTAAGTACGAACTTCTTCCTTCTCCAACTCCTGCATCCCGCAAAGTTGGCTGCTTGACAGAAGAGCATTAAGCAAGAAGGTAAAGGAGTGAGAGAATCAAATCTTGCCAGATTTCCCATGGCATAAAGAACAGCTGTAGCCATTAAGCAGCCACCAGGGGACGTAGTTAGAGCAACGTCCCAAGTAGAGGACTTGGGTAAGGCAGCTGCTCCACAAAGAGCATCAGACAAGGCCAGCAGGAAGACCTCCAGGGAAGCTCAGTCCAGCACCACAGGAGTGGCAACGTATCACTGGGTCCCACATTTGAGAACCAGCAGGAGAACTCAGGCGTTGACAGAAAAAGCCTGTGCCCCCTTAAGCACTAACCATAGTCCTTTATTGCAATATAATTTCCAAAAACTAGAATTCAACATATTTAGGAAATCCTGTTCCATGTCAGTTTTCAAAAGAGCAAGTAATTAGTGAGACGATTTCAAATTCTTGAGACAAAATTCCTCAGACACTACACGGGGATCCCATTTACATCAAAAATGCCCCATTGATAAGATTTATACCAACCTGACAACTACAGAATACATAAATTTAGTAAAACCATGTTTTTTCCACGTCACTACTAGGATGGTCAAAGAAGACGGTAACTAAATTTGGTCTTCATTCAAAGCACACTTCAAAGAAAATAAAATAAATAAAGACAAGGCATAATGCTGAAACATATTTTACAGCCATTTCTAAAAAAACCCAAAATCCTGACATAGTAAGATTTCCCTGTCTACGTAAGAATAAGCATCTTAGAATGACAACTTTAGAAACTCAATGTAATTTCTTCAAAAGTAAACAGGTATTTTCTCCTCTTTTTTTCTTCTACTACAATTCAAAAGAGAATCATAAATTCTACTCATTCCTCTCTTGGATGTAAAAATGCCTGGATTTGTTTAATTCTATAAGAATCCCATATTTAGTGACACCTAGATCAGTAAATAACATTACCTGTGTGTCTTCATAATAGATTGTGGCTTAGTATGAAATATTCCAGCATTTCTCTTAAAACATTTATTAATATGTAACAGATATACCAGCAAAGAATATACTTTAAAAAAATTAGTTAAAAATTATAACATAACAAGCATCACTTGAGCAGCATAAGTCCTGGAAGCAAAAGATGATCCACAAGTTATGGAAACCTAACTAAACATCAGTAACTCCAGTGCGCCTCAGTGCCACTATAGTGACCACCACAATCTGAGGAAGACCTGAAGTAGATGTTTCAGTTCAGTTGTTGTACTGAAAACATAACCACTATAAACACACCCTTATTCTCCATGTCGCCCAGCTATGCAGTATCTATAATATATAGGTACAAAACGCAAGTCCTTTGCTGCAGTCCAAGTTCTCTTCTGTGATAGTGAAGCTTCAGACTGTACCTACACACGGCTTTACAAAAGGAGTCTGAAATTTCAGAAGAGTAAGCACGAATTAAATTTTTCTCCCTACTTTTCATGTGCCCCGTAGTTGACAGTACCTCCGTATTTAATGATAATCCACTGTTAAAGAATATTGTTGCGACAGCAATGTAGGAGACAGTTATTTCTGGCATCAGTGGTCCTAAAGAGAGAGAAATGAATCACTGTTAGATAGGCACTTCCTGTAGATAACTTGATGTGAAAGGAGAATCCATTGCAGAAGAATAAACGGTACTTTAAATCTCGGTGTCGCCGCTAATATACTAATGTCCTGACAGAGTTAAGTGTTTGCTGTGATGCAGCCTAACTCCAGAGAGGATTTTCCAGATGGGCGAAGACCACGGTTGTCCAGTGCAGCGCAGTATCCTCAGAGCAGAAAAATGAAAACAAATGCTGCTCTCACACGGGAGAGCAAATAGGCCGCATCTTTCCATATTAGGTCCTCTAATTTTATCTGCCATAGTAAATGTCAGCCCTGCCGACATTTTGATTTCTGAATTCTAGCCACCAGAGTAAGTTCTGGGGAAAAAAAATTTCTGTTGTTTTAAGCCACCCAGTTTGTGGTAATTTATTGTGGCAGCGCTAGGAAATGAACACACTCCCTCAAGCCAAACAACAGGACCACATCATGGTTCCTCCATTGCCTGTAACCCTCCACCATTCCAATAGATACTGCTCAGCAGTATCCGCAAGCTGGGGAAAAATCACCACTCAGTCAGTCAACAGATATTCATTGAGCAACCACAAGGCTACATTTTAGGCATTTGTAGCACATCAATGAATAAAAGAAACAAAGAGCTCCTCAAACACTGCAATACCTAAGTGTCCACCAACAGATGAATGGATAAAGAAGATGTGGCACATATATACAATGGAATATTACTCAGTCATAAAAAGAAACGAAATTGAGTTATTTGTAGTGAGGTGGATGGACCTAGAGTCTGTCATACAGAGTGAAGTAAGTCAGAATGAGAAAAACAAACACCGTATGCTAACACATATAAGAAAAAAAATCTAAGGAAACAAAAAAAGGTCATGAAGAACCTAGGGGTAAGATGGGAATAAAGACACAGACCTACTAGAGCATGGACTTGAGGATATGGGGAGGGGGAAGGGTACGCTGTGACAAAGTGAGAGAGTGGCATGGACATATATACACTACCAAACGTAAGGTAGATAGCTAGTGGGAAGCAGCCGCATAGCACAGGGAGATCAGCTCAGTGCTTTGTGACCACCTAGAGGGGTGGGATAGGGAGGGTGGGAGGGAGGGAGACGCAAGAGGGAAGAGATATGGGAACATATGTATACGTATAACTGATACACTTTGTTATAAAGCAGAAACTAATATACCACTGTAAAGCAATTATACTCCAATAAAGATGTTAAAAAAAATGATAATCAAGTTTGGGGATCTTGAGTTCTATAGTGGAGACTATAGTTAATAATACCATTTTGTATACAGTAGATCTTAAATGTTCTCATTATAACAACAACAAAAAAAAATGGTAATTATGTGAGGTGAAGGATGTGTTAACTAACTTGATTGTGGTAATCATTTTGCATATCTAAAATCATCACATTGTACACCTTAAACTTATTCAATGTTATATGTTAATTATATCTCAATAAAGCCGGAAAAAAGAAAAAAAATACACTGCAACACATTCTTTTAGATACCTGGCACTATGATCTGAGAAAAGGCAGCAAAAGGGAGAAGGTAGGGGAAGAGGCATTACACTTCAGGGCAGTGAAAGTGGTTCAAAAACTTAAAAAGAAGTATATTTTTCCCCCCATACTTGTGAGTGAATCTGTCTCAGCTGCTCACACTTTAAAATAATATTTCCTCAAAAGCTGAGGAAGGTGATTCAGGAGCAGATTTGAAAGTCAAGGAATCTGGCTTGTTTTGGAAGTAAATGCCTTCCAGGAATTTTTAATATCCTGTTTGTTTTTTTTCAAACTCATATCCTTTTTCTTTTCCTCCAACCCCTTGTTTTTTGTGAGACCCATTTTTGTCAACTGTGCTGCCATCCACAGTGGTACCCCAGATTTTCTCTATAGGGTGGGTTATAGTTAGCAGTATATTTGCAAGCAAGAGCTAGGCGATGCGTCCAAAGATGCATCTCCATAGCAAGCACATGGCATTGACTTAGACCACATGTTTCTTTGGGGCAGCTAAAGCATCTACCTTAGTTAGCCAACAACTGGATTTTTTAAGAAGGTAACTCTTCCTACGCTCCATGCACATATATATATAAATACACATGGTAGCTATTAGCTAACTGGCATAATTCAGTGGAATGATTCCTTACTTTGAATGTCTTAAATCCTAGAGACAGGGTATACTGTTTATTTTTATATTGTTTTTTGTATTAGATGCACATCCAAATAACTAATCCACGAAGGGACCTGGTGAGGCTCTTCCAGGGCTACCTACAATGTACCTTTTTAAAAGGGAAGGAGGAATTAATTCTTATCAGGGGAAACCTAAGACCCCTTTGAGACAGCTGCTAATGAATCGCCCACGGTGTGAATGCAGAACTAGAAGCAGGCAGGGCTGAAATAAAAAACTGGTAAATATTTGCACAGAGGTGAGAGTTGAAACTACGCTATGAAATGGTATGTGGCCCCTCTCCAAGGTAATGATTATATCCTCCAAGTCATGAAAATAACCAGATTCAGATCTTGAGAAGGCTACAAAGCACAAAGTGGAAATATAAGTTTTAACTCTTCCTTAAACCAAAGCAAAAAAAAAAAAAATGTTTATCAGTGAAAATGGAATGGAGTAGCAACATCAAAAGAAAAATTGGCCGTAAAAAATGAAGCAATTTTGGGACTTCAAGCCCATGCTTTTTATTGTGGGAGTGGAGTGTGGGGAAAGAAGACGATCTGGAATGTTTAGGAATGCAAGGAACTATTACCGTTTCATCAAATCTACTTATCTAGTAAATTTCACTCCTAAACCTAATCTAAGGTATTCATGCTAATATTCTTAAGTTTATACAGTAGCATGTTTCTGGTTATGCTTTCTTAATGCAAAAATGAAGCAATTTCCTTTTTAGGATTTATGTCTTAATTAATGGCAAAAATTTCAGTTAAGATGCAGGTAGAAATGAGACGCTTAATCTGTACTTCCAAAGAAGTAAGGCTTTCTCTTGGAGAATGAATGGCACAGTGTTGAACTCTGGTAAACTCTAAGATGTGCATAGCTCAGGGCTCCCCTGGGTGGAAATGAAAGAGTATCTACACTTCAGGATCTACAATTTACATCTCCTGTGGCTCTTTACTTTCAACCTTCTGTACATTTTAAAATGAAATGTAACTGAGTAAAAAGAACAGGGAACTAAAAATTAAATTTTCCACGCTAGTACCTGTTACACTTTTTCCCATATGGAAAGTCATTCAACTTCTCTCACTTCAGGGTTCCCACCTCTATGAATTTCCTGCCATACATAACTCACCCACTGGCTATAAAGATTGTTTTTAAAGGGAGGGCAGAGCAAAGGCGTGATCCTTTAAGTGTAGAAGTCTTACACTTCAAAATAGAGTCATTAAGGTATTGATCCAGGTAAAGGTGAAGTGAGCATCTTAAGTTGAAAACAATCAAAACTTTCTACTGAAGAGAAAAGAATGTCTAGAAAACTGTTCGACTGAAAATTGTTCAGTCAATGTGAGCGCAGTAAAGATGCACACGCATTCTAGTGTACAGACCCCAAAATGGAACTTCTGACTAAAAGTGACAAGCAAAAAGAGATGCTTTAGATCATGCTGTAGAGCAGAAGAGGACAGACCACTTTCAGCCACCATTACTCTCCTGGTTCCTAGATTTTTGTTGTTTTAACTGATGGGGTCAAAGTGTTATTTGGTACCATTAGGAAGTGTGTTTTTATTGAAGAAGTTTTACAGGTGGGAAGGTCAACTGAGGCACCAAGAACTTAGCCTGACAGCTTATATAAGAAATCCCAAACAACTGTTTGTTTAACTTTTGTTTTTAGAAACAGTAACTTTTACACTTGGACAGATCTCAAAAAAATCACATGAATATACGGTTGTCTAATATTACCTGATTCTGCTTCTTTTGGCCTAAAACTCAGGGCATGGAAACCAGCTTTATTACAGAGAGCCTTTCTTTATAATGGTTATTCATTTTTAGCGATTTTTTGCCAAGAATATTTGGATGGATGTTGCAACTGGTATGAAGTAAGGGGGAATCCTGGTCCCCAGTCCTACCTCTTCCCTAAGCTAGCTAACCTGACCTAGGGTGAGTCACCTGACCTGAGGCCTCAGTATCTTCAGCTGTAAAAGAAGCATGTTGGCTTAAAATAAAGTTCCCTCAGCTCTTAACAGTCTCCTCTTTCATAATTAAACAAACAAACACTCCTAGATTAATGGCATAAGGACTAGTGAAAATGGGAAACAATATTTCTAAGATACAGTAATTCCCAAAACTTCAAGAAGCAGAGTCTGAGGGAACAAATAAGATTACAGAATCTATCTCGCACAGGCCACTGTGGGGAAGCCCTAGGGAAATGATCCAGCAATCAACAACTCTCCTTCCCACTGAGCAGCCCAGGAATATAAAAGGAATTTTACCAAACCTAATCTCTGCAGGTCTCAACTTAAAGATCACACATCACCTGTAATTTCACCTTAACACTGAGCGAATCAGAGCACTAACCCTAGAAGCTATAAAGTCTGCAAGTGAAGCTAGTGAAATCTACATTCTAGATCACCACAAAGACGCTCCCTAACATTCTTACTACCTGGCTAGCTGCAGGGACAGGGAACTCATTGGACAGAACCTAAATACCAACCTTCACAAGTTTCCCCAAAGCTCACAGAGAAACTATGTCAGATGAGAAACTGGTATCGTCAGCAGGGTAACCCAAACAGCTTTACTCTCACAGTTACCCACCCCTCCACATTTTGTACTAAGTCGAACATAGAAGAACATAAAACAAACCAAAAAGTTTGAATCCCCACTACCTTTGTCCAAAAAATTCCTTTTAAATGTTCTCTGAAGCTACCTCTATCTAAATGGAGGTATTGAGGGTAGAGGGTAGAAGGAACCACTGTTCTCCTGAGAGATCATTTCATTCACTTCCATCATGTTTGAACAAAAAGGTTCAAATAACTTCAAATATCCTCCTGACAGCTTCCTAGCATAAAGATTGTGTGTGCTCACTTCGGTTCTTATCTGTCCTTGCAGGTGTAAAACATGTCAATAAGCGTGAAAACTGCTAAACAAGGTCAAACAGACAATGAACTGAAGAAATTCAATTAATGTTTATGAAAAGTGGGACATGATTGTCTAAGGGTGGGAGGAGGGGGTCGGGGGGCATGAAAGGCTAACGGTATTTCCAGTCGTTTCCACCAATGCCCATCCACACATGACAAGGATCCCACAATTCAGAGATCTGGGTGTGATTTTTAGCCCACCTACATTTCCTTGCCAAAATACACACTACACACATGATGGTCTAACACAGCCTGGATCTGTGAAACTGCTAAAGGTAGCAATTGAGTCCTGGCAGCACACGGAAGCAGTTGAGTGCAACGTGTCAGTCGGTTTGAGAGTTTGTGGAGCGGCAGGAACTGCAGCAAATCATCACCCTCCAACATGTGGGCCAACAAATCTGAGTTGGAAGAGGAATGGGTGTCCCTTTTTCTTCCCCCACTCCTTTTTTTTTTTTAACATGGGGGAGGGGAGTGTCGGAAACAGACAAGGTAATGGTGTCCACTCCAAGATAGATAAGGAACTCTTGGCAACCTAGCGTCCCTTGGGATAGGATGCTACTTTGAAGGCAAATAAGTTTCATTCTCGGTAACCTCACTCCTTGACACTAAGGATACTCATTGATTGTTCGCGGAAAAGGCAACCTGCGTTCAAATTCCCTTGCCCCATTCCTAATTATAAATCCTCTCTGGGGCTGGCAAATTAAAAAATCAGCAAGAGGGCCAAAAGACACCTTGGACTGGTCAGTGACCCTAAGAGAGGCAGACACTCCCCAATTGCGGTCTCCCCTCCTTCCCAAGACTCGCAAATTAGCTCTGAAGTGGGAATCGCAGTGGAGCATATGCAGAGGTGCAGCACTTACCCCCATTCACCCCTATGGACGGCTCCAGCTTTGCTCCGGCGATCGCCAATACTATTCCAATCATGAACCATTCTTTCCTCATTCTCTCCAGTAGCCTCATGTTTGTTAGGGTGGGTGGGTTTTGTTTATTTGTTTGGCTTTTTTTCTTTTTAAGCTGCTATCGCTTAATCCCCGGGGCGTCTCCACACTTTCCACGGTCCCACCTGACATGCAGCAGAGCAAGTCAAATTGCTACTTGTAAATTAAAGACCGGGGGGTTGCTCCGGCTGCTTTGAGGAGGGCTGCGAGTAGTAGTATCCAGTGACAGGAGAGTCTCACTGAGCGCCGCCATCACTACCGTGTGCCTACTAATAGACACGCAAAAGCCACCGCGGCTCCGGCTGCGCCTCCCAGCCCTCTGAAGCGGACGTTTGGGCCAGGCCGGCCGGCGCAAGCGATCGAGGAAGGGAAGCTGGCCGCCGAGTAGGGCTGACAGACTCGCCACCGTCAAGACCTGTGGAACCTTAGGAATGACAGGGGCGGGGAGTGGCGTGAGGCGCCACAGCCTCCTGGCTCTGTCAAGGGTCCGGCTCCAACAAACATTTAGACACAGCCCCCCGCGCCCCTGGAATACATCCATGGAGAGACGCTTTTTGGCTTCGCCTGGAGCCTGCGATAAGGGCTAGCGTGCGCTTGGGGCAGGGATTTCTCGGTCGGCAGCTGCGGCGGCGGGATACAGGTTTTTTTAGGTGGCGAGCTTCTTCGAGGCATTACGACGCTTCCTCGACGCCGGCGATGACGTGTACGCGGGGGGGAAGGGGAGGCCGCTCGCGGTCTCCTAGTCCCCGCCGGAGCCTCTGGAGTTAGCCATGCTCATACCCCGGCGCGGGAAAGCGGCACCCCAGTGCGGGTAGCTTTAGCCCCGGAAATGGGTTGAGAATTGGACACCGAGCCGATGCCCACATACGTAGCAGCGTTGCAGCCCGGGAGGGTGGGCGGTACCCCCAGGTCGGTCATCCGCGGGTGGGCGCCGGGCCCCGACCCCCTTCGCCATCACCAGCCCCGGAGTGGGGACTGCAGAGGTTCAGCCCCCTATTGGGAAGCGGGGACCACATCTTCCTTTGGGGATGGTGGGTGAGTGCTTGAGCTCCCTCCCTACTTCCCAACGAAGCTGACGGGCGGGGTGGGGGGGGAGTTGACCCCCAGAACTTGCCCCACCCAAGCAGCAGGGCAACTGTGGGAAGGAGGTCAGGATACCCAAGGCAAAAGTGGTGAGGAACCAGGTAGAGGCAGGGCTCCTGCCTTCCATTCCCCACGTGCTAGATCCTATCCGTCCCCATTTCTCCCTTGAAGTGTTTTCTGCCAACCAGTGACATTGATAGTTTCATGAATGGACTTCCTACCCACAGACCCTGCAGGAACATCAACTCTTTCCATTTTGCACCCAAATAAATAAATCAGGCAAATGCTGTGTTACAGTTTACTAAGAGCTCAGATCTATTTACAGCAGAATCAAACTCATGGAAATGATTTTTGTTTTGGTGGTTACTTAAAGGGAAAGAATACAGTGCACTGTGAATTCTGTATTAGTTTCCTGCGGATACTGTAACAGATACCTAAAACTGGAGGCCTTTAGAATAATGGAAATTTAGTCTCTCATAGTTGTGGAAGCCAGAAGTCCAAAATCAACGTGTTGGCAAGGCCACACTAACCCTGGAGGCTCTGAGGAGAGAATCCTTCCTTGTCTCTTACAGCTTCTGGTGGTTGTTGGCATAACTTGGCTTCCTTGGCTTATGGCCACGTCACTCCAGACTTTGCATCTGTCTTCACATTGCCCCCTGCTCTTCTGTGTGTTTCCTATAAAAACATTAGTCATCAGATTTAGGACCCAACCCGATAATCCAGAATGATCTCATTTTAAGATCCTTAACTATATCTGCAAATATCCTTTTACCAAATTAGGTAACTGTACTTTGTTGAATGGTGTCCCCCAAATGTTCATGTCATTCCAGAACCTCAGAATGTGACCTTATTTGGAAATGGAGTCTTGCCCATGTAATTGGTTAAGATGAGCTCATACTGTGTTAAGATGGGTTTAAATACAATGACTCATGTTCTTATAAGAAGGTCACGTGAAGCCACACAAAAGAGACATGAAGAAGAGATCATGTGAAGATGGAAGCAGAGATTGGAGTGATGTGTCTGCAAGCCAAGGAATGCCAAGGGTTCCACTTTGGAACCAACCACCAGAAGCTGGAAAGTTGCGGGAGTGGGGCAACCGGAAGCTGTGGTAAAGGATTTAGATTTTATTAAACACTGTAGGAAGCCACTAAAGGAATTAAAACTAGCTAGTGAAGTCATGTCCACTTTTGCTGGAGAGATTACTTTAGAGGCAGTCTCTGAACAAATAATTCAGAAAGAAGTGACTAAGTCAGTGGAGCCGGAAAAGGTAATTAGTATAAGAACTGTTAAGCAGGAAGAATCAAAAATAAATGACCAGGGCTTCCCTGGTGGCGCAGTAGTTGAGAGTCCGCCTGCGGATGCAGGGGACGCAGGTTCCTGCCCCGGTTCGGGAAGATCCCACATGCCGCGGAGCAGCTAGGCCCGTGAGCCATGGCCGCTGAGCCTGCGCGTCCAGAGCCTGTGCTCTGCAAGGGGAGAGGCCACAATGGTGAGAGGCCCTCGTACCGCAAAATAAATAAGTAAATAAATAAATAACCAGTTGCCTATAGGGGAGTGGTGAAACAGTCTAAAATGACTCCCAGAATATGTCTGTCAGACAGATGCTCGTGCCAGTCACTCAGCCAGGGAAACTATATAGTAGATTAGGGGAAGAGATTATAAATTCAGTTTATATCTTGTGTTCAAGGCCATTGGAGCATACAAATAGAGATGTCCAGAGGGTGTAGAATGGATGTTTGGGTTCATGAGTACAGAGTTACTGTAGGTCTGGGATTCTTCAACAATAGATTATGGAAATCATAGGCATTAATGTAGCAAATATTTACTTTTATACTTTGTCACATTGGTTACTCAATCTCTGAATATAGTTCACTTACTTAATATTTATGAATGTTTACTATGTGCTAAGAATAGGAGTACACCTTGTGATTGAACCTGTCCCATCAGGCTATTGAAAAGATTCAGTGGGATGTATGTTGTATGTACGTTGCTTTGCATGGAAAAAATGCTCAGTTATTCATTTATTCCACAAATACTTATTGAGCTCCTACTTTGTGCTAGGCGTTATTCTGTAAATACTGGGGTTACAAGGAAAAGTGAGAGACAGGTTTCAGCTTCCTTTTGTGTTCCAATGATGACATAAAAAAGAAAATTAACAAGTAGTGATAACTGCCACAATGAAAATAAAACAGGTCGCTTGAGAAAGTAACAAGGAGGCTACTTTGAGTGGTCAGGGAAGGCCTTTCTGAAGGATGCAATTTAAGCAGAGACCCAAATGATGCGGGAACATTCATGATGCTGACATCTGAGAGATAAGCACCTCAGGCAGAGGGAGAACTGGTGAACAACCTTTGTAAATGCCCTAAGGTGGAAATGATCTTGACATGTGTTTTAAGTTTCCTTTTGCTGCTATAACAAATTAACTCAGTGGCTTAAAACAACATAAATTTATTATCTTACCGTTCAGGGGCTCAGAAGTTCAAAATGGCTCTCACTGGGCTAAAAATCAATGTGTCCACAAGTCTGCATTCCTCTCTGGGTTTCTAGAGGAGAATCTTTCCTCTTCCTGCTTCTAGGGGCTCCCTTCATCTTCAAAGTCCACAACTGCCTATCCAGTCTTTCTCATGAAGAATCATTCTGGCACCGCCTCCCTCCTTCACTTACAGAGACCCTTCTGATTCCAATGTGCATACCCAGATAATCCAAGGTGACGTCCCTATTTAGTTTAATCCTTAATTTAATCACTATAACGAGGTCACAGGTTCTGAGGATTAGCATGTGGTCATCTTTAGGGGCCATTATTCTACCTACTACAGCATGTTAAAGGAAGGAAGGCCAAAGGACTGGAATACAGCGTGCTGGGGAGCCAGAGGAAGCAGGACCAGAGCCTTCAGATCATGTAGGTATTTGTAGACCAGGTAATAAAATTTAGATTTTATTTAAGTGTGGTGGGAAGCTATAGGAAATTTTCAAGCAAGGAAAAATCGTTCTTAGGTCACTCTGGCTGTTGTGTGGAGGAGGAATTTTAAAGAAGATGGAAAAGGAGATACGAGGCTTTTAAAGTAGTTCAAAGAAGAGATCCTGCTGGCCTGTGCTGGAGGGGCAGTGGTAATGGGGAAGAGAAAAGACAATCATTTCCAGTTATGTCACAGAGGCAGAGACAGCATTGGCTGTTGGACTGGATTTAGATGAGTTAGGGAAAGGAATCAGGGATTTATTATTTATTTAGCTAAACCTAAGGTTTAGCTAAATCCACTATTTATTTGGGTGAACGTTGCTATCAATTTACAAAGATGAAAGAGGGAAGAGCAGAGTTAGTGAGGAAAGTCAAGATTTATTTTGAGATAGCTTTGAGGGGCCTGTTAGAATTTCAGGTGGAGGGAATTCCCTGGCAGTCCAGTTGTTAGGACTCAGCCCTCTCACTGCCGGGGCCCTGGGTTCGATCCCTGGTCGGGAACTAAAATTCTATAAGCCACGTGGAATGGCCAGAAAAAAAAAAGAAAAGAAAAGGAAAGAAATTCAGGTGGAGGGAGACCAGGCGGTTGACCAAACAGTTCACAGAGGGAGATCAAAGCTAGAGAGAAAAATTTAGGAGTCATAGGCGTGAGTGGTCTTTAAAGCCATGCTATTGGATAAGGTTACCTAAAGAGACAGTGTGAACAGAAAAAAGTTTAAATAAAGGACTATAAGTCAACTACCACCAACTAGATATCTCACCCTCTTTCCAGAAATATGGCCGTACTCGACTCAAAGATCTTCAATGGCTTCATGTATCCCACAGAATAAAAGTTTAATAAAAAGGCACCTGGCAATGCACAGAAACAATTTAGATGGTAGTGTCCGGTTCAATAATCAACCCATGTAATTTATCATTGTTGAATAATTTGTGAAAATTATATAGGGTGTGGTGCTATTTTATATTTTTCTTTTGAGAAGTTAAGTCATTTGTATTCTTTTTAATGATTGGAAGTGATTACACATTAAATGAAAAATCCATAAGGACATAATCTTCAACATGTCATATAATCTTCCAACAAAAGAATATTTAAGAGCAACTGTTTTGATCAGAGAATACTTTTACACTAGTGAATCTTGTTAGCTCCAAAATTTTACCATGAAAGGAAATGCTGACTTATTTTCCTGTACAGTATTCTA